CTCCATTTCTCGGAAATCGCTCACTCTTCTAAGAGTGTAGGCAGGCTGTATAGCGAATCGACATCGATAAAGAACGAACGGTATGCTGCTATCAGATGACGTTTCCATTAAAACTCTTGGCAGCAAATGAACGCTGCCACCCCTTACGGAAATGTCATAGAGGAAACCTATAGACTTTCCTATAGGTTTTTTAAACACGAAAAACCTATAGGATCCTTCAGGATCCTATAGGTCTCCTGACCTATAGGATTCAGGGAGGGAGGTTTCGAAACCCAAGCATTACGCCGGAAAAGGCGACCGGGGTTAATATTGGCGCAGCATTTCGGTGTAAATCAAAACGGATTAGGGGTTTTTCTATGGTAGGGAGACATGCATTAATACCTGTACTGCGGGGTCTGCATAATTTATGGCCCCGCCCCACATGTGTCGCTGGATTGGACGTCTACTTCCTAGAACCTGCGACCACGTCTCTTTACTGAAACTCCATTTGGATAGAGTCTACTCATTTTCGTACGTGGTTTCCAAAAGGAATAAGGGCATAATTCTTCACGGGACTCAATGATTCTATCTGGAAGATGGGGATGACAAATACGGAACTGTCGAAGTTTATTGATTGCTACAAGGCGAGACATTAGGGGCCGTACAAAACTCTTGTGAGAGATGATTCCTTGGGTAAGGGGAGGGCACTTTTGTGCCCTTTGAGAAATGTGAGAACCCAATACTTCCATCTAGCGGCCTAGAGGAGAACTTCAAACGGAACCCTATAGCCCTATAGGGAATCCTATATGTCCTATAGCGAACCCTACGGGTCCTATACAAAACCCTTTAGGGTCCTATAGGGAACCTACTGGCCTTATGGGGAACCCTATAGGTTCTATAGGGAACTCTATAGGTCCCAAACTGAACTCTATGGGTCATATAGCATCCTAAATGATTCTTTTAGGTTCGTGTAGGATTCCTATAAGACATTTTCGTAAGGGACGAAGCGCGTCCGTGATCAACTCGATTGTGAGAGACGCGAACGTCAAATAAATCATGTGTGCCGTTGCGAAGGCCGTTCCTAATACTGTATAAAGATATCGCAAGAGCATTACGATGGCTTACATTTTAAGGTGGCTTACATTTTAGGGCGTGGGGAAGGACACCCGGAGGATAAAAGTGTTGAGAAATTCAACCTGATAGTTGACCTGCTGATCGACATTGTCAACATGATCGTTCTTAACAGTGTCGATTTGAGTCCGCATTCCGCTTTCCAATCGGTACGAAACGTCCTTATCAACCTCACGGGAGTGTTCATTCTTGAAACACAGAATGGCGCGCTTGCTGATCATTTCGACATCCCAGATCCTATAAAGTCGTCCGAATGGCTCGTTAACCAAATCAGAGATACAATCGTCTAGTAAGCGGAGAGACCAGGTTAACCGCTATGTACTATACTCTCGAAGTTGTTCGGCTGCTCACTTCGAGCAATCATTGAACAAAAATATTGTTTGCAGCAGTACGTATATTTTGTTAATCGAATGGTCCGTAACTATGACCACAACGGGCTCACTTTACTGCAAGTATTGACGATTTCACAGCGAGATATTTCGCGGACAACTGGCAATACTTGGCGAAAGTCTCCACCGAGCATAATTACTTTGCAATCGAATCGGTCATCGTCCACTATGTCTCGCAACACCCGTTCGACCGTTGCCAGCGCTTCAGTGGGCCCAAGCAGCACTTAATCTCAAATGATGTCAGTAGCTCGAATCATCGCCAGGATTTTGCGCGATAAACGACACGTTACATGCCTGAGCAGATCCAATACCCAGTCGAAAGCCGCGTGATGTGTCCTACCACCTGTAGGAAAATTGTAGATATACCAGTCGACACACAACGCTCAAAACATTGTCCTCTTCCATCAATATGTGAATTAGCGGGGAAACCCTCCCTGTACATCACGTACAGAGATGGTTTCCCCGTGCCACCTGCTCCATCAATGAAGAACCAGCGATGTGCTTCCCGTTCCGAATCTTTATATGCCGCTGGGTTTGAACCGTTTCATCCGCTTCGTAATGTAGAGTTATCGACGGATACATTATCAAAGGATTGTAGGCATGTCGTAGCCACATGACCATTAACTAGCTGCGTTTGCGCTGTTGTACTGCCTAGTGAACTCGCTAAAACATGCGAGCGTTAGCATCTTTCCCATCGACAGCGTTTGGAACTCTGACGGATATTCCATTCGGTTCAAACATCATACCACGATCATGACAACAACTGTGCAGAAATTTGCTTTTCTCCGCTTCGAAATGAACAGTCGGGCAGTGCTCTGCACAGCACTCCACATTCACTCCAAGGCCAAGATCGCGCGAAACGGCTGAAATAACGTTGGGCGTCCCTGCCAATGCAGCTCGAGTATGAGATGGTGACTCGACGCGTACGCGCTCCGAGTGTTAACAGCCTTATGTTGATTTGCAGGTAACGCAGTTCTACGCTGCCTCCATTCAACTATCTTCTCGAAATTGACATCATGCTGCTCACTGTTTCTCTTCCGCGGACGTATCGTATCGCATCGCATGCTATTTGACGTAAGCCGCTTAGCACATGTCCCAGAAAGGCATAGTCTTTCCAGCTGCATGGACGAACTACGAAACCCGCCAAGCCCATGACTTGGAAAGGCGAAAGCATGTAGGCCAATTGGCTACACGAACTAGGAAACGCGCCTAGCCATGACCTGATAATACAAATGCCCATAGGCCGTCAGCTACACAATCCATAAAATGTTTTGATGTATTTTATCAATAGAATGGATTTCATAAAGATGTCTACACACTCAAAATGTGTTAAAAAGAATGATGGTAATCGTAATTTCCCGTAAGTAAATAAGGCATATAAGGAAGGGTTAAATTAATTTTTAAATGTATTTTTAAAGTTATTTAAAGTTTCTCTTTTGTAAATATAGTGTAACAGCAATCATTATGAAATAGATTCATTGTCATGTCACCTATACTCGTGGACCACCCTGTATTTACTTTTGTATATACGAGCTAATATGCCAGACAGTTGTGACCATTGGCCTTCACAGATCATTGGCTGAGCATCGCATTCCTTCTGTTTTCCATTCCGAATCCTAGACTGCCACCTTATACTATTTTCAATATTCAATGAGCTCTGGATGTACTCTCCGAAAGCAAAGAACAGAAGTATTAACACATTGGCGACAACGCGTCTTGATGGCAGGATGCAGGTTCCAAAAAACGTCTTGTGCGCAGATATCGAGTATCTAGCGTTCCAGAAGATTATGATTTCATAATTACTGATAAAAATTTAAAAAAATTTCAACTTAAAAAAAACGGCAAAAAAACAGTTTTCTAGGACCATGCGTCCTGATGGCAGGACGCATTTTTTGACAAAAAAGATGCTAAAACGGCAAAAAAACAGTTTTCTAGGACCATGCGTCCTGATGGCGGGACGCATTTTTTGACAAAAAAAATGCGCGTGGTCCCACGCAGCGGACAAGCAAAAATAGGCTGGTCGTCAACGTGTTAACCAGCATTGACAAGGTTCGGGCTTGCACAAAGCCTAGTTCTACAGATGGACAATACATCACTTGTCAAAATCTTGCTTGGGCCAAGGATAGGTCACGTCAGCGTATTTACACCAAAGTATTGCAAAAGAATCTTCAAATGCTTGAAGAAATTGAATGTTGCAGCTAGAGTTTCACTAATCACATTCTCTGCAGCACATTTGGTCTTGACCCTTTGCCCCCTCTCTTTCAAGAATACCCAAGGACTCCCCATCCGATAAAGATACCTGGAGCGTGGAAAAGGAAAGGAGCAAAGGTGAAGAAGAGACTGGGGAAATATTGCGATATATTTTATTTTCTTGGAAGTCGTGGCCTCCCTTTTCTTCCCCCTATTTAACGAAGATGACGGAAAAACAAGGGAGTTGTCATTTACGATATGCTAAAATGCCGAATCTTCTGAAAGAGCAATGATGAAAAAATATGGTCATTGGTCATGTTCTACTAGCTGTTTCCACTTTCATGTGGGGTCGCTGCAGCAGACACCAATCTCCTCCATCTGTCACTGTCCTGGGCATCCTCCTCCTCAGCACCAATACCTCTGATGTCCTTCCTCACACAGTCCATCCATCTCCATTTAGGCCTTCCTCTTCCTCTCTTTCCGGGCAAACTCAGCTCCATTGTTCTTCCAACATAGGTTTCTTCCCTACTTTTCACATGTCCATACCATCTCAACCGTGCTCTCCTGCGTCTTGATGTAACACTCTCCACTTCCAGTCTCCCCCTCACCACCATTTCGTATGACCATCTACACATTTTCATCTCCGCCACCTCCAACTTCCCGCTCTACATGTCATGGGCATTGTCGGGTTGCCAGTCCCGTCGCCAGTTTACGGCAATGCTTCCCGGAAGTTTGCAAGATTCAGTTAATAATATGGAGCAATGTGGAGCACTATTTTCAATTTTGATGTTCTCAAAATTCCACGAAAAGGGGGGGGAAGTGTAAACTATTCAGCGGTGAGATCTACTGAACGTAAGAGAAAGAGAGACGTTCTGGTGTCACAGTCAGTGGATGAAAGTACATAACGGCGTGCATAAAATGCTGCTTTACAGGCAACTTCCAGGAACCATGAAACTAACGAAGAGAGATCGGAGAGGCATGCACGAAATGCTTTAATTCGACATATTTCAGCCCGTGCGTGCACGGGCTTTTAGTCTTTTGTCTGGTACAAGGCACATAGATCCGCTTATCTGCATACCATACGGCCCACAGGCGCTGGGAGGTTGGCCGTTTCTACACTGTACAGGGGTCCCAACTCTCTTGCGTACAATAAATAGCCTCCACACAAAGTCAGTGACGGACGAAATACACATTGAAGAGTACTTTCGGATGCAACTTTAGTTTTGCCAGAAGTCGTTGACAGAAGAAAACAAGAGATAAGACTGGACACAAGCAGCATATTGTAACATGACTTACTGCGCTCCAATCGATCTACATGGGATACAGTAGATATCCCACAAATCGGGCAAAGATCGAATGAAGTCCTCCTCTGTCCAAGTGGACGTCGACTTGGTCGCCCGATTTGAGACTGAAGAGGAAGGAATTGCCTGAATTATGCCAAACACTATCAATACTTGCATACATCATGCCCTTGGTTGCTCCGTTTTGTCTGATTTGTACCATTGTATCTCTATTCACAAGGGATGATAAAAAGTGGAAATGGAAGGCGTAAATGCCATCCAGGGTTGCTGTGAAAATCCCACTGTTCGGATCCATTGCGTTGCCAATGTTCACCTCGGTCCTTTCGAATGGAATTCTTCCAGGACTGGTCAAGTCGCTTGTGCGATAGACATTGAAAGAGACACTCTTTTCCGCGATACGTGCACCCGTGTCCAGCTGGAAGCTCGAGTCGGCGTCTTCCAAATCCATTTGACAGAGGACGACATCCAACCGCCCTTTTTTCGTGCTGATCAGATAATAGCCCGTGCGGGTGTGTCCGGCTTTGCGCAGAGATGAGCACGACTCCGCAGGGTTGTTCGGCGATGGAGCCTTACCCATGCAGACCAGTCCGCCAAGAGTGTAATTCGCCTCCTGGCTTTTAAACCGGAGGTTTCCGAATCGGAGCTCTTTAATGGGTAATGCCGTTCTGTTGGTGATCGCTCCCACGTCCGATTCCCATTGGGAAGCTTCTGCATCGCAATTGCACGGCACAGTAGGGTCGACGCAGTTGTCGGTGAGGCCGCAACTGCACACGTGTTTCCCTGCGTGCGACCCAGCCCAATAGTACTGAGGTTCGCCGTGACGGTCCACCCACCACGCATAGTTTGTGCCGCTAACCGTCAATGCCGTCGAATAACAGTCATACTGTAAAGGAACAAAACATACGTATCAATTGCTGAAAGCTACACTATAAATTTCCAAAAAAAGCTGCTTTAAGGGGACCGCACTAAATGAGAAGGAAGTTGCTACGGAGTCCCCGATTTATAAAGGGAATAGTAAAGGAAATTATGCGATTTAGATAGTATCTTATCTTAACACATGTAACATTTCCGGATCCCCCTCCCCAGGCCATACTCCCTTTCCTCTACCTTTTCCTCCGCCACAGAGTAAGTCCTGGCCACAGCGACGAGGATCCATCAAAAGGTTCCGTCTATATGGTAATAGCTCTGAACTTGTGGCTGCTAGCATAGTAAGAACACGCCCTTGAGAAGCGAGCTCCAAAAGCTCGCGAGAAATGGTGCTGCCTTAGCAACCCTCATTTTCCGAAGCACACAGAGCATTAGATTCTTGTCATTCGCTACAATTAGAGTAACGTGAGGGTATCAAATGCTACGCAAAGGCGGGAAAATCTCTCACAGAATCCTAGTTATTGTTAGTAGCAGCTGGCGGACAAGATGCCCTGAGCAAATCTCGTGGGTGCAAATGGCACAAACGATTTTGCAGAGGCAGCGAATGCCTTGAATATGATGAGCGGTAGTGGCCGGCCATCCACGAGGCGCAATGAGGTCACTATCAGCGCACTAGGCGAACTCGTCCGTATTGCCACCATCATGAATGTGAGGCTGGAACTCTCGTAGGGACCCTGTCAACCAATGCTATCGGAAGATTTGAACATGCATCGCCTAGCCGCATAGTTTAATTCGGACACTGACCGATCAAAAGCAGCTTCGTCTTGACATTTGAGAAGGGATGCAAGCAACTGCCAATATGGAGCCAACATTCTTGCAACGAATCATAACAGTGGAAGATGGGACGCGGGTGTACCTGTTCGACAACGAGATGAAGGCTCGGAGTCATGTGTGGAAAACACCCTCCTCAAAACGCCAAAGAAATGTCGAACCGACAAGTCAAGTGGTCTATGTTCATTGTTTTCTTCGATGACCAGTGTATTTTCCAATACGAATTTGTTACTCAGGGAATGTCAATGCTTCTACGGAAACGTTCTTTCACGGCTCATCATCACTGACAGTGCACGTGAATCCTCCAGCATGACAATACGCCGTATCACAAATCAATACTCGTGAGGGAATGTCTCACCATTCATGAAATAACACCGCCAACACGTCCTTCCTCCTCCCCAGACCTTGTGATAAAATGTTGTCCCTGAGGATGAAGAACCCCCTGAAGGTCGCCGTTTTGAGAACACAAATGCTCCCAAATCGGTTGCGACCAAGACGCCAAAGCAAGTTGTGCAGAATGGGTTCCAAGAGGTCTTCAAGTCTCTCTACAACGTTGGGAGGAGTGTATGGAGAGTCAGTTTTTTAAGGCGACCACGCAAAACCTATATTTTTTTATATATTGGCTATACAATGTGCAGTCTTGGAAATTTTTTGATGGATTCTCGTATACGAGCAGAATGTAGTTTGTGGCCGGTAGCATTGCCCTCCATGAGAAATATCCTATCCCTTACCAAATCCGCTTTGGTGGATCACACGGTTTCCACAAGTATGGCAAGTGGGAATTTCATACGGATAAAGCAGCATCTAAGACCTCCTAGGACAATACCAAACTCACTCTTATTTCCTGCTTGCACGACTCCGATCGTTCGATCAATGCATTCATCTGTTTTACCGACGCATCGTAAGCGACGCGGCGACGGTAGCATCCAGGTTTCGGACAGTGTTTCACCTCCGTATTTCCCATGGAATCGTGAAGAACAATGGTGGACACCGGATCTAAGGTAAAAGTCAAGGAAGTTGCCGAAAGGCGCAAAGGTAGACAACCATTCCAGCTTCAATTAGGAAGACCTGACTATATACAGGGCGCTTCAAAAGTCACTTCCGCTTCTCAGACGGCTGTCCCCAAGAAACCGATATTTCATAATGCCGTGGAACTTGGTATGTACTAGTAGACCTACTTGACCATGTAGAAGAAAACTTTTAGTTTCGTGGTGGTGTATCATGGCATCGTAGTGTGAGACATGGTATCCTAGGGTACCTTTGGAATACGACGCATTGGCTGAATGCATATTCGAGCAGTTTTAAATAAGTCATTGCAAAGCTAAACTTGAAGTGGAGAATTGAGCTCATTGGGCTCTGGTATAAAAATTCCAGGAATGAAGAAGCAGCTTTACGTACTTATCGACGGCAACACAGCACGATGCGAGGGCCAAACTCGGCGTGAGCATTTCTGCATCTCACTGCCGAATTTCAACAGACTGGCAGTGTAGCCAATGCCCCAAGGAGTCATCGCTGAGGTCTTCCAAAAGACTAAGGAAATGGCCGAGACTGATCGTTTTGGAACCTCCGTGGTTTTATGGATTCCCCTTCTCGGTGAAACTTCGCCACTGCTGGTTTGGCGAACGTTGCGCCACACATAGCACATGTTCCCATATAGATACCTCGCGCACAAGAGCTGAAACTAGGCAATGCTTATGGCTGCTGCGAGTTTGCCTTGCAATATCTAGCTCGCGCAGAATACATTATTATCAAAGCTTACGCCATTTGCGAACGATAAATACCATCTAGTGTGACCATAATGCTATCATAAACCACCACATGTATGTGTACGTCTTCTTCCGCATGGTCAATTTGGTCTACGTACTAAATTTTACAATGATGTATCCGTCGGTTTTCTAGAGGCAATCGTCTGAACAGTAGAAGTGACTTTCGAAACGCCCTGTTTTCCCTCCCTGACCTGTCTTCATGTCACAGAGCACTCGTATGGGTGGATCGCCTCGAAGCACCCCATCTGGGTCCACGAGGTAAGATCCCGTCCTCGTCACGCCCAGGCTGGCCAGAGTCTCGCACGTCGGGGGCGCTGTGACACATGCAACAGACTCCCCCAGTCATTTACGCGATAGAAGAGCATAAAGGTCGGATCGACTGCTTTTTCCGTTAACTCACTTATTTGCCGAGTGACGGCCTCCAGGTACTGGAGTCTATCTTCCATCTTATTCTCCAAGAGCGATTTGAGGTGTTCATCGTTGCGCTCCAGCTGTGCGACGTTGAGCTTCAGCTGTGCGTTATTCTTTGCCAGCTCTTCAATCTTTGCCATCATTATTGATATCATCTTCTCCAAGTCAGCGACACTGTTCGGTTCGGGGACTGAATTGAGTGCTATTTTCTGTTTAAGAAAATGGACAAATTTGAAGAACTTAGAGAAATGAACATGAAGAAAAGAAGGGGACGCACGCTTAAAAAAATTAAAATCTATGTATCAAGATGATGTGTGCATTTTTTTGTTAGACCTGCAACAAAATGTAAATTCTAGTTGAGGTACTTTTTTTTCTCGCCCCAGGCATTCTATGAAAGCTTTAATATTAATTGTATTGAGCCGAGGTATGCTTGAATGCACTTCTTTTCACTTACGTTTCCAGAGGTGCATTCGGTCGATGCAATTAGTGCGACGACCAATAGACTAGAAATGCCCTTCATTTTCATGAGCTCCGTTCTCGAATTTTTTTCCTCGTCTGGAAAAGAAATTGTAAGACGAAGCATTAGAAGGCGGGTTAGCGAGACATAATTCAGAGCTCCATATGATGACACCATCATCTTCATATATTGAAAACAAAAGCAAGAAAAATATGTTGTTGAACGGGATTCCTATAAGCCAAATAAGTTCTGTGCCATGAATGTTCTCTATGAAATGTATCATTTCCAAACTGTTCCTCTAACATCATGTCAGCTGTAAACGAGGAAAACTATTCAAGAACTGGGTGCTAGTCCCGAAACTCCACTTCAGCTGTACCTTATATAACATAGGTAGTTGCACCTACTCCAGTCAAGAATTTCCCCCTTCTCCCATGGATGCAGAGAAGAAAGGCCATTCATTATGGAACTTTGCTGCATAACATAGTTTAGACAATAGGTTTCGTTCTGCTGCTTCCCTTCCAATTCTCTCGGATTTGGCTTCACCTGGAGTTTCCATATTTTTAAGAAAGAAGGCTTAGTATGCCATCACCTTTCTCCGTGCCAAAAAAAAAAACATTTTAAAAATGAAGTGGCCAGGAGAATTTTCCGGCGTCAATGACGTAAAAAAAATGTCCAAAACGAGATTCATGAAATCACTCACCATATAGTAAATAAATTAGTTTTTATTTATATACCCTTGTATCTCCCCATGAGTTTTTCAAACGTGGAACGTACTAAAGGGGTAAGGGGCACATACGGTTCAACGTCCTCAGACCATACTTACCAAACGACATTCAAGTTAAATTACACGTCACTAGAACTCTTAGTACTGTAGAGCCTGAAGATTATGATGAACAGGTCATGATTTGATTTTGCTTGAAACGATCTCGCTCTTCAAGCAAGTGGAATTCTGAGATGTCAGAGGCGCGAGAGAAGACTTTCTCTTCTTTGAGGACCACTCAGATCTGGTTCAACGAATTTTGCTTTTGGAGGAAATTTTCCAGCAACCCTAAATCTGGTCGACCCCATGAGGTAACCAGCAAAAAAATATTGCTGTTGTTCGAGCTCTCTAGAAGGAATACCTACAGGCAAATTCAGCTTACTCTGAAGGTCTCATCAGGAGCAATGAATTCCATCTGGCATGATCAGCTAAACAAGAAAATACCAAATCACATAATTTGAGGGCTCTACAGTACAGATGAAATTTCTTAAGGTAAAAAGTGTAAAGGTCAATGCGCATTGCATTTAACCCACAATAAACATTTAATTCACACCAGACTCCTGCAACTTGTCGTCATACACACATCCGGAAGCATTGTTCACCTACTTAAAAAAAGGAAATGGAAGAGGAAATCATGTAAAGTGGAAAGACTTATGAATGCTCCTCGTATCTGCACCTGAGTCAGGTTCTGATGCATTTTCTCGAAAAGTATACATATTGTACCAACTGGGAAATGCAATTTATCACCTCCAAATTCCACAATTGGGAGAGAAATTCAAATTCTCGAGAAAGAGTTTGGGATTTTTTGGATTGGGGAAATAGATGATAATGGCTTGGAGGCAGGAAAATAGATCATTGAAACGGAATGTCGAGGAATGGCAAGCCATCAATCGATAGTGAATAATCCCAAACCTCATCATGATGAATCATCGCCATGCACCATGTAGATTTCCAGATCTGAGAGTGCGAGGCCTGCATGCGTCGCATCGACGAATGAGGACGGAATGCACCTGTTACAGGAGCTATTTCGCTAATCGTCTCACGTTTCCTTTTTTTTTCTAACCTGGCGTATTAACTCTTCTGCCGTTCGTACTGCATCAATTTGGGAAACACGTCAGTACGTCTGAAAGAGCACTCACTCCCTCTTAACGAAAGGAAAACGTATATGGATCTGCATGAGGAAATCGTGATAAACTTATAGTCATTCTTTTCCTTTCGTATATTACTATATGAGGAGAGGGGGGCGAGGGAGAGAGAAGAGAATATGAAACCAAGACTAAGTTGTTTACAAAATCCTTACTCATTCCATCTTTGCAGGAGAGGAAACCAATATTTCGACCGACAGGATGAAGCTGCTCCTCCCCGAGTGGAACAATTCGAATGCTAATTGCAACATTTCCTTTCCAATGCAAAGAAATAAATAGCCGGTATCTATTTCCTCCGTGTAACCCGAAAGCTACATTCAGGAAAAAGTGAGAGACGCTGGCATTCCAAAGACGCTCCCAGTCCTTTTTGTGGGAGTGGGAAAACACATCAAAAGGTAATTAACTGAAATTTGAACGACTGGAAAATTACTTATATTCTCTGACAGGAGAAGAGATGGAGAAAGGAGTGTGACAGTAGCGAGTGAGTTTTAAAATTGCTGCCCTATTCGAAGCGTTTGAAAAAACCGCCATGATAGGCAAAACTGCTCTACAGATTTCAACAACAGGAATATGTGAATGTGTTACAGCTTTTATTCGCCATCAGCTGTGTCTTGGAATTGGAAACTCACAAAGCATGAGTTGAAACGATCATGTACATGTGGCAATGTCATTCTTTAATCCCTTCACCTTAAACAACTGGAATCCTCCCTACCCCAATTAAGATGCTACTCAATTGCGTAAGAAATTGCATGATTTATATTTCTCTAGTATGCATAGGCGATTCATAGGGGCTCACGGGGCCCGAAACCCCCCACAAAAATGGCAGAAGTGGCTGGCGAGGATGAGAATAAGGAATACTTGGAGTAGTTTCTGAGCCCCACCAAATTTTTCAACAAATCGCCACCCATGCATAGTTGGCATGAAAGAAAGCTGAACCTTCACGTTCTCATATTCCCGAATCTCAATGCGTCCTTTGGAAAGAATGAGTTGCAACACAGATTATCACGTAGGCCGATGATGATCCGGGCTTGTAGCTCCATACCTTCTCCCTCCTCGTCGATTTCAAGTGCGGCACCGTAAGTTACGTCAACGACTACTACTACCCTGTACCGTACCTCACCTTTACATTACTTGGTCTCCCCAATCTGTAGCATATTGCCATATGGCACGAATCCCCAACGTTACCGCTGCACCAGAACTAAATTTCACGAAGTACCTGATCTTCAGCCATGCAAAGTTTTTCCGGCATGGAGCAGAGCTCTGGGATACTTTTTCTGGGAGTTTTTAGGAATTTTCTTTTTTTAGCCTGGTTTTTGGAGTTGTGGGCGAGGCTAAAAATGGCCAGATCATTGACATGCAAGCCCTTCTAAATGGCTAATTCCGAACACGGAAGGAACATGAGAAGGTATCTATCAACACCCCATATCGTAAATGTCAAACTTCTAGACTGGAATTCGAGCACAAGAGACGCTCGTCCCTTGCGCCGAGAAGCCTGTAAAGGCTCAACTTTGCAAATCCAGAGAGAAAGGGAAAGAGAGAGAGCGAGTGGATCGTAGAGGAATTCTACTTGATTCTCGTCGTGACCAGAAGAGCCAGGCAAGAAATTAGAAGAGCCGGAATGGAAAGCTTAGGCAGCACGATATTTGCATCCTGAACCACGATCTTCAATTTCTTCTCGTTTGTGAGAGAACAAGAGAATTTCTAACACGTGCTAAAACCGGCTGACGTGTTCGAGCCCCAACAGATAATATCGGAATCGAATATATATATATTTTTTCATTTGCAAAGTTTCCATCTGTATTAATTCATATTGTCTGCCTGAATTTGTCCCTAAGGCCCCTCATTCCGTGTTATTCAGCGAATACAAACTAAGCCCCCAAGGTCACCGCCTCCTTATTTTCTATTAATACAAGTAAGGGAAACCAACTCGACTCGAACGCTGACGCTAAAGGTATCAGCTACCCGTAGGACTTGCTCTCTGGTGATTCAACTCTTCGTGTAGTCGCCGCGAAGAGGTCCTGTTCCCCGTAGTAATGCATGGACAATCCGGTAAAGCTTGATCCGCTAATCTTTTCCTTTTTGTTTCCTTCCTTCATTTCAGGCGTCACATTTCCTTTAATTGCTGATTCCCCATGCATTACGGGCTTTGGCGATATGTTGCGAATAGAGGGCTTTTATGCTCCAATCATGCACGGAAACCTTTTCCGAAATCGCGTATCATGTAATCACAACTTAGTCCAAGGAAGATTTTGGCAAACCTAGCAGATGAAACATATTTCAATCGCAAAATGCGTCACTATATTTATTTGGTTCGTTATCAGCTAGAGCCTCGGCATTGCAATGAAGTTCATTACGAATTGGGAAGACATCATAACGAGGAGTGAATAATTTCATCGAAGAATGGCTTCATTTGCGGAGAGGAAGGGCCATTCGTCTGGGAATGCTTGAGATTCATTGTCACCAGATAGTTCACCTTTTTAATCCCACTGGCCCGCAAATCATCCACGCCGGACCTACGTAGCATTTACAGGTTTGACCCCCATTTTGACTGATGCATTTTCACGTGCAGCACGGCTCGCTATCACATCGCAATCTTTCCGATCAGTGCTTTCAGCGAGACAAGCAAGACGAGCATCGTTACCAGAAGTGCCCTGGTCAACTGAAGCTTCATTTTCTCCAAAAGCCCCGACAGAAAAGCACCGATTTACTCTCCCCATGCCAAATCGGAACAATTTAATGGAATTCCTGAAGCCACAATGTGAAACAATTACTAAAACATTATGGACCGCTCACGGAAATCTCAGTTTTTGAGTCCTTTCGCCTAGCCTATAGCTAGATGCATACAGGCTAACGGAACTGAGCCCTAGGTCAGAGCGGCGGATCGACATGGTGAAATGTCCGGTCCACAATGTATTGAACAATACGGGTATACATAATGCAATTGTGATAAATTTTTGCGTTGAATCGGATAATGGTCATTGAATTTCGAGGATAAATCTCTCAATTGCACCAATGAGCGAGTTTGAGATATTACTCCTGTAGCAATGGAGAAAACTTGATCCCCGGAGTCGGATTTTATGCCAATTTCGAATGCATATAATATACCTGCATATATAACAACACTGAAACTTCATACCTGTGCACCTAAGCGAGGAACCTCGAGCTGCGTGGAGTGAGTGAAGGTTGACCTGCCGATGTCGTGGTGGAATTGCAGTGATGGGTGAGCGGAACTTGGGCTTTAATTTTGGCCTTCACCGCGTCACTTTATATAGTCCATTCCATATGCACATAACCTCCTTCTAGTGACGACGCGTACGATCCAGCGCATGCGTTTCTGGTGCAACGTCAGTTAAAAGCTGAAATTTTAATACATTAGGTATGTATGAACGATTGAATAACTTTCGTCATTTTACACTATCATACTTCAATCCTCTGGCTACGACTGTCGCACTTTTGGGACTTCAAGAAACCAATCATATTGTAAGGAACGTAGAAGTATCATGTAAGAACCCCTTGATTTTAACAGCAGGTACAAAGTTTGCATTGAATTGCATTGGCGAGAGTGCTTTTCGATAACTTATTTATACCTTCACGAAACACATGTTTCTTCTCTTATTTCACTCTTGCAAAAATTGGAATATGTAAGGATTTTGTATTTAAAAAAAACTTGGGATTGGTGCCCCAAATTCTATTTTTTCTTCCTCTTCTCCCATGCCGCAATATACAAAAGGGGCAAGAATTACTATAGGATCATCACGATCTCATTCCCATGCAAAGCCATGTTCCCTTTCTTTGTGAGGGAGTGAGTGCATTTTTTTATGAAGCACACAGCTGTTTTTAAAAACGATGCAGCACGAACGGCAGAAGGGTTATTACGCCAGGTAAAAAAAAAACTAACTTGAAATATGAGACGATCAGCGCAATAGGTCCTGTAACAGGTGCATTCCGTCATCATTCGTCGGTGCGACGTGTGTAGGCCTCGCACTCCCAGATCTGGAAATCTCTTATGTGGGGCATCGCTCCCGCGATGATTCATCAACTACTCGGGGACCTTAATAAGTAATAGTTAACTACCGATCGGCAAGGGGCTAGAGGTCAATGCGACTAGATTAAAGGGCGAATGTTCGAGAAGATTTTCAAGCTCCAGGAACAGGTATTTTTTCCCAGAAACATTGGTTTTGCCGGGTCAAATGCGAACGAAGTCAAGTGCGACATGGGAATCTAACCAAAATATGGCTTTATGTTCCTGTAAGAACTAGATGTTGACAAAGTCTGCAAACCTGAGTGAGAAAAAATCAATTTCAAATCGATTGAATTAATATAAAACAGTGACGCCTTCCCTAGCAATAGCCACCCAAGGCAATAGGCAGGCTATGACTGGCTCCTAGCCATATATACATATGCGATGTGGTGGAGGAGACGTGTTCGGCGTCTGGTCAACCAGTTAGCTCATATCCAGCCAGTCATGGCGTAAAAGGGCGAGAAAATGGAGAGATCGAACATGGTCTTGAAGCCTCCATTGCTTGCATTGATGAACGATTTGTACGCGAATCAGCAGTTTCTCGGCATTTTCGTCAATGTTTATTTTTTCCTGCCAAGTAAAACCTTGACTGAACTTTTGCTTCTTTTTTAATTATTGTTGGTTTCATCTCAAGTGCACAACTTGCGAAAACTTATTTCTTCCTGTTTATATATATTTGCTTAGGTCATCATGCAGGCTTAAAGAGAGAGAAAAAAAATCCTGATCCCGAAAGGTTCAAGATTCTCTCTCCCAGGAGCGAAGATCATGCTGGCCTTTTCTAGTCACTCATGGTATATACCTCGTACATGAGAGCGCCACGTCAATTGCTCAGGATGCCACACTTTCATTCTTCGGGTCAATCACGATCGGAAGAATCACAAGATTAAGGGAAGAGAGTAATAGATGCATCGCGTTTATCCTAGCAATCTCGGAACCCTGATGCTGGAAAAGCGAAGGCCGTGTGTGAAAGGGATGTTCGTGACATTCACGAGACGAACAAATACCTAGATACATTTTACTTCAGAGGCTTACAAGCGTATCATTGCAGTGGAGCAGAATCCCATTGCTATTATGGCTGTCATGGTGCCTGCTTCCATAAGCGTAGTAATGACTCCCAATTCTGTTTAAATTGACAATCTCTCTCCCTCCAAAGAGGTCTCAAATATCAGACTCCCTCCAGCGAGAATGTATCTATAGTAGAGTATTGATATATGACAACTGGATTCAGGGGAGCATTCATGGCAACTAATGTTAATGAGGTAGGCCTGTGACTACATAAGCAAAAACACTGACAGAAACATCACTGAATGATGGTGTTAGCGGTTACGTTGCATTTGTATTGAGTGAAGCAGACGTTCATCATGCACTGGGATATCGAATATCGACGAAGCAAAATATCGGTATGCCGATATTTATCTGATTAGTAAAAATCGGCCCGATAACCGATACCAATTTAACATCGTTACATCCCTTATTGATTTTTCTCAGATTTTGTGGAATTTTCCTTTTCTCCAGAGAAAAAAGAATAGCTTGGTACCCATCACCTATTTAGAAAGCCCGTGCCTAGGGTGACCCCGAATTAAAGAAGTATCGATAGCCGATCTTTAACAGACGAGAGGTCTCGTAGCAATTAAGGAAAAACGCAGGACACATTCGTGACCGACGGAAGAACGTCGAACTCGCAGTCGAAAGAAAACGATTATCCCACACGTAAACACCACTAAAACTATTACTCAATCCGTCAACTAACTTTCTTTTGTGTCGAAAAGTCAACACGAGTTGTTTTCTTCTAGCTTATTTTGGCTCCAGTGGGATTACCGAAAAAGATCTTTCTACAACAGAAGGTTTGAGCAGGGCCGTGCCCCTGATGGGGACCCAGCTATTCTTTCAGATCCCAAGGGCTCCTTTCCTTTCTTTTATAATATTCCACTATCTTACTTTTTGGAGTCGGTTGTCTTGATTAGCCAGCTTTGGGATCTCATTACTTTTCTCCTACATTTAGTTGTTTTGTCAGATGCGGTCGAGCTTCTCGCGCTCTGCTTCACCACTTAACTGCCCAACATTATTCTTAATGGTGTGACGCTCTTTTGCGCCTTTTCTGCAGTATATATATAGTGACGAACCTAGTATTCGCCGTTCGTGCTGCATCCTTTTTTTAGAAACAGGTGTGTGCTTCATAAAAAAATGCACTCACTCCCTCTCGAATGAGATCGTGATGATCCTATAGTAATTCCTTTCCTTTCGTATTTTGCGGCATTGGAGAAGGGGGAAGAAAGAATAGGATTTGGGGCACCAATCCCAAGTTTATTTTTAAATACAAAATCATTACATATTTCAATTTTTGCAACAGTGAAATAAGAGAACATGTGTTTCGTGAAAGTATAAATAAGTTATCGACAAGCACTCTCGCCAATGCAATTCAATGCAAACTTTGTATCTGCTGTTAAAATCAATAGGTACTTTTACGTTCATTACNACGATGCAGCACGAACGGCAGAAGGGTTATTACGCCAGGTAAAAAAAAAAACTAACTTGAAATATGAGACGATCAGCGCAATAGGTCCTGTAACAGGTGCATTCCGTCATCATTCGTCGGTGCGACGTGTGTAGGCCTCGCACTCCCAGATCTGGAAATCTCTTATGTGGGGCATCGCTCCCGCGATGATTCATCATGATGAGCCCCTGGAATTATTCATTATTCATTATCAATTGATGGCTAGCCGTTCCCCGACCTCCAGTTATACTGATCTAATTTCCCGCTTACAAGCTCTTCTAAAAGTTCGAGGTCCTTGTCCATAAAAAAGGGTGAAACATTGGTTTTGCCGGGTCAAATGCGAACGAAGTGCGACATGGGAATCTAACCAAAATATGGCTTTATGTTCCTGTAAGAGCTAGATGTTGACAAAGTCTGCAAACCTGAGTGAGAAAAAATAAATTTCAAATCGATTAAATTAATATAAAACAGTGACGCCTTCCCTAGCAATAGCCACCCAAGGCAATAGGCAGGCTATGACTGGCTCCTAGTCATATATACATATGCGATGTGGTGGAGGAGACGTGTTCGGCGTCTGGTCAACCAGTTAGCTCATATCCAGCCAGTCATGGCGTAAAAGGGCGAGAAAATGGAGAGATGGAACATGTTCTTGAAGCCTCCATTGCTTGCATTGATGAACGATTTGTACGCGAATCAGCAGTTTGTCGGCATTTTCGTCCATGTTTATTTTTTCCCGCCAAGTAAATCCTTCACTGAACTTTTGCTTCTTTTTAAATTATTGTTGGCTTCATCCCAAGTGCACAACTTGCGAAAACTTATTTCTTCCTGTTTATATATATTGCTTAGATCATCATGCAGGCTTAAAGAGAGAGAAAAAAAATCCTGATCCCGAAAGGTTCAAGGTTCTCTCTCCCAGGAGCGAAGATCATGCTGGCCTTTTCTAGTCACTCATGGTATATACATACGTCAAGTGCTCAGGATGCCACACTTTCATTCTTCGGGTCAATCACGATCGGAAGAACCACAAGATTAAGGGAAGAGAGTAATAGATGCATCGCGTTTATCCTAGCAATCTCGGAACCCTGATGCTGGAAAAGCGAAGGCCGTGTGTGAAAGGGATGTTCGTGACATTCACGAGACGAACAAATACCTAGATACATTTTACTTCAGAGGCTTACATGCGTATCATTGCAGTGGAGCAGAATCCCATTGCTATTATGGCTGTCATGGTGCCTGCTTCCATAGGCGTAGTAATGACTCCCAATTCTATTTAAATTGACAATCTCTCTCCCTCCAAAGAGGTGTCAAATATCAGACTCCCTCCAGCGAGAATGTAGTAGAGTATTGATATATGACAACTGGATTCAGGGGAACATTCATGGCAACTAATGTTAATGAGGTAGGCCTGTGACTAAATAAGCAAAAACACTGACAGAAACATCACTGAATGATGGTGTTAGCGGTTACGTTGCATTTATATCGAGTGAAGCATACGTTCATCATGCACTGGGATATCGAATATCGACGAAGCAAAATATCGGTATGCCGATATTTATCTGATTAGTAAAAATCGGCCCGATAACCGATACCAATTTAACATCGTTACATCCCTAATTGATTTTTCCCAGATTTTGTGGAATTTTCCTTTTCTCTTTTTTCTTATCGAACCATGGGTAGTGGATAAATCTTTCGGGCACGGATCCCACTGGGGCTTAATTTCTTCATAGCTATCGGCTAGAAATTGTCTGCTCTCCAGAGCATCGTTAATTCCTTTTTCGCAGGACACGTTGCACTGGCTGCCTTCTTGCAGCTTCAGCGTCAGCTTTCTTTTGCTAATAGGGTGTGCATTTGTGGTGATAATGAGTTAGGCAGTTGATTGAAAGAAAACACAGCTTTTCAGTTGTGCTCAAATTTTCTTCTAGCTTATTTTGGCTCCAGTGGGATTACCGAAAAAGATCTTTCTACACAGAAGGTTTGAGCAGGGCCGTGCCCCTGATGGGGACCCAGCTATTCTTTCAGATCCCAAGGGCTCCTTTCCTTTCTTTTATAATATTCCACTATCTTACTTTTTGGAGTCGGTTGTCTTCATTAGCCAGCTTTGGGATCTCATTACTTTTCTCCTACATTTAGTTGTTTTGTCAGATGCGGTCGAGCTTCTCGCGCTCTGCTTCACCACTTAACTGCCCAACATTACTCTTAATGGTGTGGCGCTCTTTTGCGCCTTTTCTGCAGTATATAGTGACGAACCTTGTATTCGCCGTTCGTGCTGCATCCTTTTTAGAAACAATTGTGTGCTTCATAAAAGAATGCACTCACTCCCTCTCGACGAAAGGGAACATGGCTTTGTATGGGAATGAGATCGTGATGATCCTATAGTAATTCTTTCCTTTCGTATATTGCGGCATGGGAGAAGGGGGAAGAAAGAATAGGATTTGGGGCACCAATCCCAAGTTTATTTTTAAATACAAAATCATTACATATTTCAATTTTTGCAACAGTGAAATAAGAGAACATGTGTTTCGTGAAAGTATAAATAAGTTATCGACAAGCACTCTCGCCAATGCAATTCAATGCAAACTTTGTATCTGCTGTTAAAATCAATAGGTACTTTTACGTTCATTACAGGCATTTGCATGGTTTCTTGAAGTCCCAAAAGTGCGACAGTCGTAGCCAGAGGATTGAAGTATGATAGTGTAAAATGCGACAGCCCCAGCGAAGGAGTGAAGAATGTCCATTCGACATACTTTTATCCTCATCCGGCAGTGATTGAAAGTTATTCAATCGTTCATACATACCTAATGTATTAAAAATTTCAGCTTTTAACTGACGTTGCACCATACTGGATGAATTCAAGGAAGCTCTGATATTCACACCCAAACATGAAAAACTGATTGCTCCTTCCCAAGCAGCATGTTCACGAAAACAAGATATCAATTTTTTGTAAACAATTTCTTGCCATTGCCATGAAAATGACATCACATTTACGTAAAATTTACGTTCCTATATTTACGTCACCAAAGTATACGTGTATTTTACATCAACTAGACGTCACGCCTTCTGACGTGAAGTACATGATATCAAGTTTATGAAAAATTAACACCACACCATCAATATGAAACTTTAGCTGACCATCCTGCAGTTGCAGTACCAAGATTCCTCATTAGATGGAACCCTTGTTCCCTGCATCCTACAATTACTATTAAGTACTGGTTTTCNTCAAGTTTATGAAAAATTAACACCACACCATCCATATGAAACTTTAGCTGACCATCCTGCAGTTGCAGTACCAAGATTCCTCATTAGATGGAACCCTTGTTCCCTGCATCCTACAATTACTATTAAGTACTGGTTTTCCTAATCTAGTATCAGGTTTTCTTACCATCCTTCTACTTTTTATTATGCAATCCATGAATATATATATGGAAAACATGAAATTATTTTTTTTTCATAATATATGACTCGGGAAATCATTAAATGCTGAAGTTGACCTTTTTATTACACCAGTGTACGGGATTAGGGTATGAGTAGAATCCTAGCCCCACAAGTACTACATCTTCTCTATCTTAAAAGGAAGAGAGCTCCTTTGAACATCTACTCCTCCTCCCGAGGTTCCGGTACGGGAGAAGGAAGCAGTAGGTCACTGGTACTCTTGAGTGCTGGTGAGGATGAGTACTCGTGTACTCGTCCAACCACCCGTTCTGGAGAACTTAAAGGAATAGGAGATTCAATATATCAATTCTCTTCAATGGTACAGATTGTCCCTTTAAATACGCATGAATGCCAGGGGAAAATTAACATAAATCTGACATAAAATGAATGTAAACATGTTTGGAATGCAACCGGGAATGTCAATCTTATGTAAAATTTACGTTAATTTATATCACCGTTTACGTATCACAGAGGTGACATTTCTGCAAACTTGTTGACATTTTCTTGACAATGGTTTGCGTAAAAATGATATAAAATGGACAAAAAATTTACATTCATTTTACGTAAAATTAACATAAACATACTGTTTGGGTTACTTCGACTTCAACTTACAGGTAGTGTCGGAAGAAAATTCTCCATAACGAGATCTCTGAAGAAATTAATGACCCTCCATGTTTGATTTGGTTGTTTCAAGTTTCAAGACCTTCCATCCACAAAGCACGCCTAAGTTCTATGACACCTTGACGAGATGATATTCCAGTACACTGAAGGTTGGAGGGATTTTACTATTTGCCTGTCGGATATCAAAGTATTAATTGATTTTTCCGATTTCCATGGTCCCATGTGTATTAGGGGATTCCCTGAAACCTTCTCAAGGCAGTGCATGAAACACTATACCGCTTCTTCGGGAACAAATGTCTCTCTTCAAGGGATGTCGCCCTTCAGTAATTGCAATGGATCTTCCTCAATGAGCAAAGCTGATGAACGTTCGCCCGCACTTGCATAGTCAGTTGAATCTGTTCCTGATAAAAAAAAATTGAACAATCTCAGTAAATTCACCAAAATTTCAGTTTTATTGCCATCTTCAAAATTAAATATGAATGGGACAAAACGCATTTTTCAAAACAAAAAATTAGTATCCAGCATACTATTTTATCACTCAAATATAAATTTATCCTGAAGTAAGAATTCCACGCTTTTTCCCTCTTAGTATTACATTTGTACGAGGTTGGAATTACACGAGAATGATACAACGGGTTATGAGATGCCATGAATGTTAAAATGTCTAATTTTTCACATGTCTCTGAACACTATCGGCATGAAAGGATAACCCAATGAACTAGAGGAGCGACTGCGAACCTCGAAAAGATCGACAGTCATTGGTGAAACTATATTCGCAACCTAGCTACGGGGAGAAAAGTACATTGCATTATCCGTAGGTGGCTTAATGAACTCCTCCATATGTTCCTTCCAACTTTGGAGCTTGCTTATCTAATACCGCTCGAGTGGGGGGTTTTCCCATCTCTGTAATGCGCCCTCGAATGGCCCTCTATTGTCACACAGATAGTGAGACAGGAAAGCGCGTTATCGTGTTTTATGCTAGGAAGGACCAAATTAATCTTGTTGTAATTTATAGTTGGCTTGAAGATAAGTATGTTGACTCTACTCTTTAATGGCGAAGTGTAACTGAGTGGTGCTCACGATTTCATGAGGGGAGACAACATGCCGGCGGTGCTGCGTATCCTGGCGAGCCATCTTCCGCGGCGATCTGACCGAACATCAATCATGTGAATGAGTGAATCGCGGTGGTTAATCGTGGAATGTCACCAAATAGTTTTAGATTAACATAGGGAATTTAGTTTCCGCACACCCTGAGTATTTGTAATTCTGGAAAATGTCATTCCAACGGTGCCTAAGAAGCTGCTAATGTGCCTGATATAGTAACATATATATATAGTGTCCAATGACCGATTTGAGAGCAAGTGGAACAACAACTTAGTTCCAAGCCACGATCGAAAGTTCAGATCATTTAAAAACCATAGCCACCAATAAAAGCCAACCGGCAAGCTAGGCAAAAGGACTCGAAAACGGAGATCTCCGTGAGCGGTGCGCAGTGTTAAGTAATAGGTACTACCTACCCCCCACAGTGGGTTCAAAGTCCCATGGCGTATTATCTTACTAAAATTTTTTGGATACTCATAGAACGATGAGGAAAGTGCATCTACAGTATATAGCAGACAGTAGGGCATTGCGGGTGGCATGCGATAAATTCCTCGCTGCAGTATGTCGGTGATACCATAAAGTAGCGGGGAGGGGTGACTGTAATATCGTTGCATCTCACTATACATGATGAAGATGTTGAGTGCTCAGGCACAGCAACACATGAACCATCGGCATAGTAAGGACCGAGTCGAGCCCACAATTGAAAGATCTCCGTCGTGAGTCTGTATTATATACATTCCTGTATTTCCAGGTGCGAGTAACGGAACTGGTAACTACCTGTAGTTCCTTTTCATGGAAGGCGTATGTGGCGTTACTGCCATGGACGTCAGCTCCAATCGGACGAACCAAGTCTCAATGACACACATAGGTTAGCTGTTGAAAAGAACCGCAAGGCAGGGACAGATTTGTATGTGAGAACACTCCAGCATTTAGCTTATTTAAATTGCACCCTATGGAAAGGGCAAGAATGGACCTCCAAACGTTTTAGGGGTTAGTAAAAGCCATTCACAAAACGTACAAATTCGCGAACTTTGTCGAGGAGTCAACCACTTGGTATGAAGTTTGGCGCAATAGGGACTTCGACGAGAACAAGTTGAATTGATGACTTATTATTGATGACTTGCAAGAAACACAACTCTTCACTGTCATCCACAATGCTATTTGTAAGGCTTTAGCACTTCCAGTGACAACGTGGAGTATTCTTCAATTCCCTGTGGAGGGTTAAAACGTGACTGAGATGAAACATGGGCGAGGAACGACTGAATGGACTGTGCATGAGCGTCCACAGAGAAAAGATTTGTCCGGAGCAGACTTTTGTCAATGAGTTTGGAGTAAAACCGAGGCGCCTGCAGTTTCTCTTTCAGGAGTAGAAGACACAATCTCTTGGTCTGACATGAGAGTTGCATAATAGGTCTATGGGTATGGTGTATTTTGAGACTCGAGATTCCTCAACTCAGGACACACTATTTCGTGACGTTGATTTGTATTTCACCATGGAAACACGACCCAAATATTAACTGCACTAGTTTACTGAATTCTCATTCGCAACAGAATGCGACTATAATGTTAAAACATCTAAAACTCCTGAGCATTGTTCCTTCGAATTTACTTCATTTGTAACAATGCGATTTTTATGTGCACATGCTTAGAACCGCAAGTTATTATTCCTATCAACTGTAATGCAGAAGCATGTGCTTTTTTTTCCTATAAATATTGCAAAATATATTGATTTAATCAGGCCCTAAGAGAGCACTCTATACTGAAACGAACTGTGTACTATCTCATATGTAAAGGTTGCCATACTGAATGTTAATAATTGTTATAACTGGTATAAATATCTATCACATTGCACCTTCAGCTAATTAATGAAGAAATATTGTACTTTATCAATATTTTACGAAATATACAATCACACTTGAGTGTGCTCTGCCACTCTTGTGCCCCTTGCCCCCTGGAAATAAACCAGCGGACGCCCATGGTTACTGCAACGTGTTCCTTTCCTTGATGACTGACAACTTTGCTGAAAACAACCAGCGCTCCACGACTACAAGAATACCAATCGACGCAAAATTGGAACGAGGAGATTAGGAACGAATTCGAGAGTTCCATCGTGGTAAACTTATCCGTGAAGTGCTTCTTTGTTTACGGATAGTTAATGTACTTTCCGTCGCATGAGCCTCAGCATCTAACTTGAGGAATGTATTAATGGTGAGCCCCATCCTGCCCTGACCCCATCCAGACAACCTTTGGCCTAACGTTAGGTCTTACTGACAGGTGTTGCTTCGTTCCTGATAAATCTGCGCGCAAACCTTTCGCATGGCTAACGTTAGCACCTGACGTCTCAATATTTTCCGATACCATTATGCTCAGCGGGCGGGTATATCCTAGGCCTTGCGTGATGAGTTGCTTCTTACATCACTGTCCACCTGATCACCTTATTCCAGTGCCCCGTTTACCACCCTCTCAGCAATCCATCTTAACACTTTGCATGCATCTCTGGTTTGAGTCCACTCGCAAGTCATTTTGCTTCGCCAATGGCCGAAAAAGTCGTAGTCTTCTATGCATCGAGCTTCAGGTTAAGGTAACTAACGCTTAAGCCAGAACGGCGGATCGAAGGGTAAAACGCACGGGACGCTAATGTGTTATGTTTGACGTCGTTAAGACTTGCCTAGCACGCCTACATCCTAGTATATAACATAATTTAACATGGTGAATTTGTACCACCTTTAACTGGAATGCCTCAAACGTAGTTACCCATATTTATTGAGCAGAACACTCATCATCAAGACTGCACTTTATAAATACCACGGGCATTGATAAAAGGCAGTGTAAATTTATTTACAATCATTGTATAGGCTAGATTTGTGTCATGTCTGTTTAAGGGAAGCAAGAGAACATGATATAGGATTTTCCAATATTCATCAACGTGATTTGGGAAAGAGAGAGGCACATGAAAAAGGACGAGCATGAGTATTCATCCAGTTGAGTGGTGATGCAGATTCAATCATCGTGAAATCGTTTGCTTTGAGCGCATGCATCCAGCTTTTGTCAATGAAATGGAGAAGTTGAGGAAATATTGGAATTTGTCATTCAGAAAAGGTAACTTCCTCTTCTAATAATTTTTTGGATGAAATACTTGGAATTGTAACTAGTTACTTCTCACTAGCCCATGCCCAGCGTCACACTCTTTGATAGCTTAGGTCTGATAGAATTTGGTATATCAGAATTATTTGAAACTTGTGATTCGCTTACTTCTACTTCTCACAACTTTCCCTTCTCTGTATCGAGGTGTTCCTGCCGGAGTCCTGAGTTTACCACTACGGAATGGCTCTGTAAAGTCGAAGTTGTCTTCATTGTTTCCGTGTTCAGTTTCTCATGAGTTTTAACGGAAACATGGATGCTAAATGTGGTATCGTAGTTTGGGAACTTGTAGTTTTTCCTTGACAGAGTGACCCTAAGTTAATATCGATCATAACGGCAGCTTATCGGAGCAACCTATATGAAAGTGAGGAAAACAGGAAATTGTAAACGCAGTCAGTATTTAACAATTATCAAGAACTTAGAACCCATGATAAGCGAATCTTCGGCATCACCTTTTGAGCACGACGAGAAAACATCGGCTGGTAGGGAGTTCCAAGAATGGAGTCATAAATCTCCTGGATAGTCAGGGCAACGCCAGATATGGAGCATACCATTGCTGGTATTTAAATCCGGTCGAAGACCCATTTCGCCCTGTACCCGAGAAGATTCAAGCCTGACACGGTAAGTGGCTTCCAGTCCTTGAATCATTTTTCCTTGCTTACAACAGGGGTTATGGTGTAAGAACATTGCAGAAATGATAAATATTCATGTCGCAGGACATACCTGCCATTAAAGATCCTGTTCAGCAAAATAATTTTCCTTATTTTAATTCCTATATGTGAATTTCCCCAGTCCTTACTTGGAGTTCTGTGGAAATTTCTTGTTAATTAATGTTCTATTCTGCTTTAGAGTTTTTTTCTCCAGGCGTGGATTCAAGGTCGGAGCTCATTAAAATGAGGGGCATTCCAAGTCTCTTAATCATCGCACTAATTGCATCGACCAAATGCAGTTCTGAAAACGTAAGCGAAACGATATGCATCCAAGCACACTATTCTCAATAAACTTTGAACGGAATTTTACCCTTGGCGGAAAAATGTCGCCACTGCTGGAGTTTCGTTGAAGGTCTATCAAAATTTGAAATATGCAACCGTGAAAACTTTCCTGTAAATATCAACTTCATGCATGCACCCTCCTAATTCCTTCGCGTTCATTTATATTTCATGCTGGATTTATTATCTATGATGCTTTTTTCTTAGGAAACCGCGCTTGATTCAGTCTCCGAACTGAAGTGCCACGCCGAATTGGAGGAGATGATGTGGACCATGATGGCTAAGATTGAAGAGCTGGCAAAGGATAACACACAACTGAAGCTCGACAACGAACAGCTTCAGATCACCGCCGCGCAGCTGGAGCTCAATGTTGAAAACCTTAAGTCCCTCCTAGAGAATACGATGGAAGATAGGCTCCAATACCTGGAAGCCATCACTCGGCAAATAAGTGAGTTATTAGAACACATAGGCGATCAGACTCCTTTTGTTTCGTATCGTTGCAAGTTTGTGAGCGTCTTCCACCATCGTACTTCACGATTCGATGGAACACACGGAGGTTGACCGCTGTCCGGATCCCGGATGCTACAGTCGCAGTATCGTTTACGATGCGTCCATGAAGCAGATGCAGGCATTGATCGAACAATCTGAGTCGTGCGAGCAACAAATAAGGGTGAGTCAGAACTGTCTGTGGAGGTCTTCGTGACCGCTTTATCCCTTGTTAAGTAACATTCCACACATGCGGAGTTGTTTGGTAGAGGAATTCCTAGTAGGAGGTGATGATACTGTCCGCAAATTGCATTTTGCATTGGAAAGCGGTAGTCAGCAGTTAATTTGTGGCGAAGGGGAATGGAGGAGGAAGGGCGGGGGAGGACAGAGGCGGATTCAGAATTGCACTTGTTCTACCATAAGTTATCAGCAAAACCATAAGTTACCTGGTTCTCGTAATTGAATGATTTTGATTGTTCTTTACTTTGCATTCACCCGGGAACTTGCAGCTTGCATTTTCTCGTTGATGAATGACATGCAAATGTCTTTGACGAAAACCTGTTGTGTTTGGGTTCATATATTCACTTTTTCTTCATTCCTTTCACTCTTTAAAAACTAAAGCACTTACCGTTCCCACGGCGTTATAAAAAAATTGAGGTTTCTCTGCGAACAAAAGTTTGCGTTTAAATTTTCATGTCTCGAAAACTATTGAAGATATATCTAAATATCTATTTTAAAATGTATTCCCAAGAACTGTCAATATTTTTCAGAGAATTGCAGAAATTTTAGGTAAGTGTATATTTATTGACATACAATTTTTCCAAAAGTGGAGATGAAAAAAGTCAAGTAATCAAATAAAACTGAATACGGGTTTGCTTTCAAATGCTTATTATAATCAGAACAGATATAAATTATGAAATTCCTGTGCATTGAGGTTCTCCCATGGCTTTCTTTAAATATTTACTTAGAGTTGTGTTAGAAATGAAGTTGGAAACTCATTAATTTCTGTTGCTATATGTCCGGGTGGATCATCTGTGAAAATTAGTTGAAAAACGTCTATCTCAGAGAAGTAGTCCAAAGGATTTAACTTTAATCCAGGATTTTCTGTAAATGTAAAGAAATGAGGAATCCCCTTGAGGTGCAAGGGGATTCATTCTAAACTTACCATAATGTTTTTGCCTCTTTTTTCACATCTATTCCTGCGTGCATCTCCACCCCCTTCATCTTTATCTTCCTAAATGTCAGATTCCATTTTCATTTCACTTTCAAAACTTAAAACTAAAAGAAATCTGAACCTTTATTTAGAGGTGCATGTATTTCATCTCAATCTAACGTAAAACAACGTATGAAACAATTTTTCAATTATGTTGGTAAAATTACGAACATAATATTTGTCATTCTAAAAGTCACATGCACAAAAGCAGCACTGTCACAGAGTAAAAGAATTCTTGATTCCAACAACACCTATTATATGACATTTACATGCATTAAAGCGGGAAAAAAACAACCCCTTAAGCATTAATTTTCAGAGCCCGGGTACATACTCGGGCCGCAACCCTAAAAGCGGCTTCCGCAGCACCGGTATATATCCAATAAGTTGCGAATGTGTTAATACAGCTCCAACATTAGTGTATCGGCGCTTGCTGCTCACATGCACTTCATTTTCTTGCAGTATGACTGTTTGTCGACGGCACTGATAACTTGCGGCACGGCCTATGCATGGTGGGCGGATCGTCACGGCGTCCCTCAGTACTATTGGGCAGGGTCGCACGCAGGGGAACACGTGTGCAGCTGCGGCCTCTCCAACGAATGCATAGACCCTGCTTTACCATGCAATTGCGATGCCGAAGCTCCCCAGTGGGAATCGGACGAGGGATCGATCACTAACGGAACGGCACTGCCCATCACGCAGCTCCGATTCGGCGGCCTCCGGTTCAACGCCCAGAGGGCAAAATACATTCTCAGCGGACTGGTCTGCAGGGGCAAGGCTGCACCGCCTGAAAACCCTGTGGAATCTTGTTCATCTTTGCGCAAAGCTGGACACACTCGCACGGGTTATTACCTGGTCAGCACCAAAAACGGGCGGTTGGATGTCGTCCTCTGTCGGATGGATTTGGAAGACAACGACGCGGATTTCCAGCTGGATACGGGTGCACGCATCGCAGAGGAGAGTGTCTATTTCAATGTCTATCGCACAAGTGATTTGTCAAGCGTAGGCATAATTCCTTTCGAGGGAACCGAGATGAATATAGGCAACGCCATGAATTCAGCGAGTGGGATTTTCAGAGCACCCCTAGAAGGCATTTATGCTTTCCATTTCCATTTCTTGAGCATTGTGGATATACGTACTTATGTACTTCTGAGGCAAAATGGACAACCCAAGGGAATGATGTACTCACCTGAAAGTAATTTATTTATGAATTCAGGCAATTCCTTCCTTCTCAGACTTAATCCTGGCGACCAAGTAGACGTCTATTTGAATAGAGGAGGAATTCATTCAAACGAAGGTCAATATATCCGATTTGTGGGATATCTGTTGCATCCCATTTAGTTGCATCCAATGGATCACCGTCGGCTTAATTGCAGTATGGTAATTTCGTCCCTGCTAATTGCTTGCTTTATCTATGAACAACTGTATTCCAATAAAAATTGTACTCGAAGTCAAGCTGCCTAGTCATTCTTCGTCACTGGCATCGCGTAGAGGCGTTTTATTGCACTCAAGAGAGTTGAGGCCCACGTATAGCTCACAATGGGATGCCCCCCCCCCCCCAAAAAAAAAAAAATTTTCTCCATTCCCATAACAGTGATGCTTTGCAATGCAAATGAGCGGATTTATCCTTTTTATTCGGATTTTTTCCACTTGATACGGACCTGGATTGGGAATTTATTTTTTTTTGCTCCCGCTGCGAGTCGTGTTTCTCATGGAAAATCAATTATAATTGGTGGGAATCGTGACACAATGGAGGTAAGTTAGATATTGTCATCTGGTGGTGTACGTTTTGAGTCCCTGACGGCACTTTATCAGTTTTAATTATGGGAACCGAGTATCTTATTAGTTAAAATTATTCCTGTCCTTGAATATCAATCATATTAAAAGGGAGGTGTAATAGCATATCTTTATTAATTTTGAATAAGAGTTGCACCACCAGAGACGACATTTACGAGGGCCAGTCAAAAAGTTCCAATATACAATTATATTTTCTGGAAATGCGAATACCTGTCAAGCAGGAGGAACAAGGATATGAGCACCTTGAATTTAGTCCCGTTGGTCTTTGGTTGCTTCCCTGTGCTTAACGCTATCAGCAAAATCAATATAACTGATGAAGCGCAGACAATACATTCTTGGGACTTCACCACCCTTTACACGAAAATCCCCTTGGAGAATTTGATATTCCCTTCGACTCAGAATGTTCTAGAGTCCCGTTTTTGTTTGCAAACCCTAAGTTCCATAAAACACCTACGCAATTCAGATTCATAACCAGCTCAGTCCATACTTGCGTCCAGAACATGTCGCTTGTCATGAGTAAGTTCTCGGATGCCCTCCTAAATGAGGTCCATCATAGCTGTAAATTCTACCACGAACCTTGGATTATGGCCAACAATGAAGCTGTGCTTAACGCTATGAGCAAAATCAATAAGCTGAAGAATCGCAGACAATACATTACATTCTTGGGACTTCACCACCCTGTGCACGAAAATCTCCTTGGACCTTCTGCACAAAACGCTGGTATATCTGTTTCATGAATTTTTGCCTATGGGCTGTAGTTACAAAGAATACTACATTGGTATAGAATTCTTTTCAAATATCCTTCAAGCAATACTAAATGAGCAATTTTATTCTCATGGGAAATAAGGTGTTTCGGCAAGTTGTTGGAATCTCCATGGGGAGTAGTTACTCAACTAATATGGCCAATCATTTTCTTTTTATGAACGTAATTTCCTAAAAAGAACACCTTCTCCACAGGCATATACCTTTACCTTTAGATATATTGATGATCTCTTGGCACTCAATAACAACTCCATTGAGAGTGACATCACTGTCATTCATCCAGTTTGCATGGAGGTGCAGGAAACCTCTTCGCCCCCATTCAAATCTGCTCATTACTTGGGTATCAACCTTAATTTCATAGATTCCAAATTTCCATTAAAATTTATGACAAAAGAATGAATTATTCCTTCGAAAATTCCAATATGGCAATTTATAGGTCTAATATACCTAAGCATATCATTAATAATGTCATCAAATCACAATTAAATAGACACTTGCAGATTTGCAGTCACAAGGATGACTTCGTATTCAACTGCGGTATTTTACATGATGAATTGATAAATAACATGCAGATTAATTTTTGAAAAAACAATTTCGCCTCTTCAAAAATACGCATAACCACATTATTTTGCAGAAGTTTGGTGTTTCCTTCGCTAACGAACCTTTCGTTTTCCGCTAGTCGGTCTGCTGAATGGCTTGCTTCCACTCTGTGGGATTACGGCTAGCCTCTGAGTCATAGGCTTGGGTTAGTCCCTGGCCTAGGACAGATTCCAGGGAGTGGGCATAAGCCGTTCGTTTTCAATGATCGACTGTTTCCTCCTTTCACTGCATAGTCTTTGCCTTAATTTTTTATTCTGTCGATTAGGGGATAGTTAGTTTTGGTCTACGTACACAGGCTCCGATTGCAACGCATGATGCAATTTACTCTGATTTTTCCCAGTTTTTGTGGAATTTTCCTTTTCTTCACTCTTTTCTTATGGAGCCATGGATAGTGGATAGATCTTTCAGGCGCGAATCTCACTGGAGCTTACTTTCTTCATAGCTGTCGGCTAGAGGTTGTCTGCTCTTCCGAGCATCGTGAATTCCTTTTTCACAGGACACATTGCACTGGCTGCCTTCTTGCAGCTTGAGCGTAAGCTTTCTCTTGCTAATAGGGTGTGTTTTCTTTCAATCAGCTGCCTTTCAGTTTGCTCTTTCATTTTCTTCTAGCTCATTTTGGCTCGAGTGGGATTACCGAAAAAGATCTTTCCACAGTGAAGGTTTGAGCAGGACCGTGCCCCTGATGATGATCCTGATATTCTTTCAGATCCCAAAGGCTGCTTTCCTTTTTTTCTCGTTAAAATTCCACATCTTCCAATTTGGAGTTGGTTGACTTGAATAGCTTTCAGTTCTCATTCCTTTTCCCCTATACTAGTATATGTAGAAATCAGGGTGCCGAGAAATGTTACAAATGTATCTAGAAGATGGTAGGATACCAGGATCAAAGGCAGAGAATGGCTTCGACTCGAACCTGTGACACAAGCGCCTAGCGAGCCTAACATTGAAAACACTGGATTACCTCCCTTGTCCTAAATAGCTGGTTTGGAAAATCTGTATTTCAATGCGAGCTCGGAATCCACACGGTTCCTCCCATCCCAAGATCTACAATGGGACCGAAGCCTATTATTTTCCACGTTTGCCCTTATAGTTCGGATTTGCAGCAGTAACACCTGCATAGTCTATATTTTAAGGGTATATTATATATATATATATATATATATATATAAATCCTTACACGGCACCTGCCGGTATTGGAGATATGAGGGGGGATGAACCACATCCCAGACCTCATACTCGTCTCTTAATTCTGAAGGACACGGCGAAGGATGCTGGCCGTGCCCAAGATTGCTGTACGCTGGAGAATATCCAGTGATATTTCACACTCCAGCTTCTTGACATGTCCTTTGAGATCTTTCAGGACGACACCAGTTGTGCCTATGATGATCGGAACTATGGTGGTCTTCATTCCGCACAACTGTTCCACTTCCACTTTCAGTTCGGAGTATTTTTCCAGCTTCTCCCTGGTCTTCTCTTGGAGGTTGTTATCGGCTGGGATGCTCACATCTACGAGAAGGGCGGTCTTCTTCTCCTTCTTATAGATCGTAAGGTCCGGTCTATTGCAGCCTATACTGCGATCTGTAATTATAGGCATGTCCCATAGTATCTTGGTGGAGGCGTTCTCCACGACAGACTCTGGCTGGTGTTCGTACCACTTATCTGGGACTTCCAGGCCGGCTTGCTTTGAGACACACCAGTGCACATACTTGCACACTTGGTCGTGCCTATACAAGTACTCCCTCGGGGCTAGTTCGGGGCAG